ACAAGCTGGCCAAGATTGAGAGTCAGGAGCTCCAGGCTGCAGGCATTGTCTTGCCGAGGGCGCGTGCGAGCAGCAAACCGCGCAGAGGCCGTAGCGAGGAGAAGCTCAACGGGAGCTCCAGGAGGACCACATCCGCCCCGCCAGACGATGAAATTCCTCTGCCGAGATCTAGGAAAAGCTCAATTTCGCCGGAAAGCAGAGTCCCGGAAGAGACTTTGCCGGATATGGATTTACCTAGCTGGGATCTTCGGCGGCCCGAGGAGATCGCTGTCGAAGGAGATGACGCCTACTGGACTTCCATTAGTGACAAGAACAAGAGCGGCTCCAAGATTCCCGTCGCCAAGGCTAGCCCGGCTCCCATCCCCGAGTATTACTTGGAGAGGAATGCGCCCTCTGGACGAAGACGAAGCGGCGGTAGCGAGCTCGAGACGATAGCCTACCCGAAACCGAGGCCGAGGAGCGGTAGCGCCAACACGCTCGGCGCGACATCAACGTTGGCACCCGCAAAGCGCAACAACACCGACATCTCTCCCCGAAAAGGCAGCGGCACCTCCAGCACCACCAGGAAGACCTCGACTCAGATCAAGGGTGGTGGAAAGACCAAGACACGTGGTGGCAAGGATTCTACGAGCAGCATATCTGGGAACAGACCGACAACGCGATCCGGAGAACTGTCTCCCGGTGTCAAGAAGCCAGAGGGCGACCCGCCATGGATGGTCGGATCCTACCGTCCTGACCCTCGTCTGCCGCCTGATCAACAACTACTCCCGACGGTCGCCAAGCGTCTGCAGCAGGAGCAATGGGAACGGGAGGGCAAATATGGAAGCATCTACGACAAGGAGTTCCGTCCACTCACGGCAGACGGTCTCCTCAAGCCACCCGAAGCTGGATCAAGCACTACACCCCCCGAAGAAGAGAAGCAGGAGCAAGACGAGTGGCCGCTGAGAGGTGACGCTCCCAAAAGCCCCACGGCGCAGAGCCCCACGTCGCCGAGCATCAAGCAGACCAACTCCTACTCGACCATGCCCAAAATCTCCGATAAACCCCAGACTAGCCCGCTGCCGAGCCCTCGTGGCCCACTGAGCCCGACCATGCAACCCCAGCAGCCCGCCGAGACCCAAACCGTCGTCCGCGTACCCGAGCAACCTTCCGCTGCGGCCAACATGTCCATGGGCGGCGAAAAGAAGAAGAAGAGCGGAGGCTGCGGCTGCTGTCTCGTCATGTGAACGGTCGCTACCATGTATCCAGCCTCGCTCGACTTTGCCATCCACCCCCGTATATCCCGTGTCTGCATCACACCAACATACCCCCTTTTCCAACCGCGAGGCGAGCCTCCGACGACGTTATGAGTCTCTTAATTCCATTCACAGCATCGGCCCATCAATTAGATGTATTTATCGAAATATTCTCACCAGACAACTGCACTTTCTTTCGGAGGCAATGCACTTCAGAGCAGCACCGCGGTCCAAGTTTTTCTTTGTTACCCTACCGAGCGTCCTCCAGAAGCTTCGCCACTCAGCGACAACCGTATCCCCGATCCGACGTGTGCGCGTCACCTGATAGTTATGGAGGTTCTGTGGAAGACGCGCCGAGTGACGGGGATTTTGTGTTTTAGAAGCTGTACTGCGAACCAGAACGGAGAGGAGCTTGTTTATTGAATATCCAAACATTCATGGACTGTGTTCCGGCAGAGCCGTGGTTCACATCCAAAAAATCGAAAGGCAGTTGAGGAGGCCGGGGTGTCTTATCCTCATCCTCACTCATCAAGACTTGCCCCAGTACTATTCCCCCTCGGTTATCAAAAAAATGTATAATCGTTAGCGATTGCACCCAGAAAAATTGTCAACTTTTTTGAACATCCACATATACTTGCTCCTTGGTTTCTCTTCTCTGCGCAATGTGTTTTTTTTCCATGTCGCCAGGCGTTTTTTTACTATTGTATTTCTCCATGCCTGGCGTTTGCTTCTTTCGTTTTCAGAATGGGGAGTTTCGGGCATCCGTGTTTATTGCTAGTCGCGTTGAGGTTGGTGATTTTGCGTGAGGAAAGCAGGGTGATGTGTGGGAAGAGGGGGGTTTGGCGGAGAGGATGGTCATGCCGGGTGCAAAGACAGGCTCGTGTCGTGGTGGAGGTGACAATTGATGGACGAAGAGGGAGGTGAAGAGAGGGAAGGGTGGAGTTGAGAGAGAAGGGAGGGAAGGGCGAGAGGCGTAGGCACCGGTGCGGATTTATATATAATTGATACCCCAATCCACGTTCCGCCGGTGGCCGAGGCGCGGTTGAAGGGGGATGAGATGAGAGAGGGTGTTTTGCTGAGTTTGAGTTTGAGCTGGTTGTGTTTGGACGGGTGTTCTAGAGAGGGAGAGAGGTGCGAAGATGATGCTTAGAGAGGTGGGGGAGCGTACTTCAAAATCAAGCCTTTATCATACATATTGATCCTCGCGGTATCAGCGTCGTCTAATGGGTTCCTGCTATCGCCCAAAGTGACATATCGGGATTCTTATAAGAGAAGGAGAAGGGAAGGCGAGGGATAACAAGTCATGCCTCTGACCGGGCTGGAACAGCGCACTTCTTGATTGAAGCCACTCTTGACTTTATTCAAGTATCTGTTTTCAGTTTAATCAGCCTGGGAATCTGCGCATACACGGTTGAGCTTTGGCGCCTGCTGTGTGGGGGATGGAGTTGAGTGGTGATGTGTAGCCTTGCTGGGAGGCAGAAGGGAGACGGAAGGTGGAATGAGGCTCCAGGTGTGGTTGCCTGGTGCTCTGAAGTAATTTGCCGAGATATAGTATGTATGTGATCATGATAAACTCGCCGTGATGCTTGCCTCATTGTAGACGCCTCGTTAACCCTAGAATGGTACCTTCCTCTCGAGAAGAGTCACTACCGAACCCAGACCTTGAATTGAGTCTTTGAGGCGTAATAAAAGGATACCTCTCTGCGCTGGATTGCTAAGCTTCTTCGCTTGAGCAGAGAAGCTGCAGCTTCTTCCATTTTGAGGAAGCAACATGATAGAGCTCTTAGATGAAGCTTGGAGTGTGCGGCGGCTGTTATATTCCGATCCCATTTCGTGACGAGGTTTCCCTTGCGCAAAGGTATGGTGGAAAGGGGCGGAGATATTGTACTGCTGTTTGTTCTTCATAGGCTGCTCTTTCGGTGGTTTCATGGCGGAATATAAAGAGGGCGACGAGGCGTGGTTGAAACCCTTGGCCGTTGACCTTGAGGAGTGCGTAATGCTTAGGTTCCCATAATGTGAAGAGAGCTTAACGCCATTATTGGGAAACGAATCGGCCAAGTACCTGCGCAACAATGCTCTGGTTTCTTGTGGCCAACCAGAGCCACTGGTGCTAAAGAATGTGGCTTGTAGTCCAGAGCTTGGGACTTGTGCAGAGGATGGCTCCCTTTTAAGGGCATTTAGTTACCTCTTAGAGAGATTCGAGGTAGGAAGGAGGGGACTTTCCTTAAGCCTCGACCTGTTGAGAAGGTCAATACGCCACACAAGATAGTATGTTGATTAGGATATCTGAATCAAGCTGTTCAACGATTTCAAAGCACGTTATACTTGACAAACCTCTTTGGAAACAGGGTATCCGGATTAAATGTCTTCTCATTCGAAATCTAGTCCCATAGTGTTCTACCCGGTTCGACAAGGAAACCAGCCTTGGCTATGTATCTTGCTATCTGTAATACCATTCTCTGCCCCATAGACTGACAATGATTGTCACGCGTAAGCAGCGGTTGCACCTAGCTTCAGGGATTCGTCGACCCAAATACCAATCTCAATCATCACAACAGGAACACCTTCCACCGCGATCTCGGCTACGAGCAACATCACCCAAGGCCATGTTATCTTCACGTATGTGGCCATCGTTGTCGCCCGCCCAGAAACATTGAACACACCCATCGTCCATTGACCGTAGGGCCGGTACATTCTAATCCTAAATCTCGTATCAGCTGTGGCATAAGATCACAAACAGAGTCAAAACACCCTATGTCTGGACGTACGAGGCAGATACTAAAGTGGCAACGTTTTCGTATATATTTTTGAGGCAAAGTTCTCGAAGTTCGAGGTTTAGTATGTTGCTTCGCGAGAACAGGACCGCTTCATGAAGTGTACTGATGAATTGAAAACCTTGAACGTGTTGTGGAAGAGACCCGCTAGTATCAGGGGCCATCGAAACGAATGCAAAGCCTGCGAAGAAGCTCCTCATTGCCTGAGAGATCTCTTCCATCGCACGATAATTCGTGCTGAAAACTGCGGCTTCATTTCGAACCAGCTTGGTTGCAGAACCTACACGTTGAGTGGGATCCCGGAGGCTTAAAATTTCATCTCCGCGGTCAGGGCTGGTACTGCATGCCCACGATCGATTTAGAACCAATGATTGGCAATCCATATCGAGAAATGCCTGGCCATCTTGGCCAACGGGTTCGGTGAACGTGTCTTCGATTAGAGTACGTTCCCTGCCCAGCTGAACTGTGGTGTTATAAGATTGCACACACAGGTGGAAGAGAACTTCGACGGCCTCATGCTTAATACTGTGGACGTGATCAAATGCCTCCTGCCATGTTCTTTTTGGACCTTTGTATGTAGACATCCACCAAGTCTTGTCAGACTCAGTCAGCATTGGTGCAGTGTAAATCAGAAAGAAGGATGCGATTCTTGCTCGAAGCAGAGCTGGGTTGTGTTGGAACGCAAACGTATGGTTGCCGTTCAGTATGTCTGTGAACAATGCTGCTTTGCTCTGATGGTCGAAATCAAAGCCACCGGGTAGCGAAACTTTCCATACACTGCTGTTTGGAAGGATCCTGTCGGCTAATATCGGAGTTTCTGTCATTCTTCCATCTTCAAACTTCTCAGCTTTTAAAGAAGATGTTATGTTTGCCAACTTTACACACACCCCAAGAGATTGATACTTATCGAACGTGCAGTTGCTCGTGGAACAAAAGGTTGCGTGAGTATCGATGGCGGCATACGGTAACGGTTTCTGAAAATTCTCATAATCTAGGAAGCTAGTTTGATAACTGGCGAAGCGGATTGCTGACTCAAGCTTATCTCTGGGATACATGAGATCTCGGACTGCTTGCGTAGTAGCCTGGCTTCCTGTTGCTTCTTTTGCGACGAGCATTTCTTCTTGTGAGTATCTGATAGACAATTGTGTAATCGGCGATGTCAGAGCACTGATCGCGGTGAGGAGCGCCCCAAGAACCACAAAATGCCGGAATCGGAAACGCGACAGTAGTATCAAAGAGCCCCATGCTCCTCGGCTTGCTTGATCTATCAGTTCGAAATCGTAGAGAGATCGAGGTACACCATTCGCATTCAACCAGGCCCATTGTGACTGGCTGATGCAAGCGCAAACGGGTACCATGAAGGCAGCCTTCGCTAAGGTGGTGAATAATGCGAGGAAAGAGTTTAGTGTAGCCTCGAACGGCCACTTCGGTTGCACTTGCGAATCATACTTGAGAAGCACGACAATGATGACTTGATACCCGAGATCAGCAATCGGAACTTTCCAAAGGGCATTGATACTTACCGCCTATGAGAATTGTACTCAGTACGATGCAGGCTATCTCGAGAGCCCATATTTTCCAGATCGGCTTCAAGGTCTCCGTGGCTCTCTTGGCTTCATCGAGCCTTTCGGCACTAGCACTCGTAGGTTGTGGGCCTTCGTCAGGTCCTTCTGGTGTCTGTTGTGCACTTGGGTGAGTGGTGACACTGATGGGTTTTCGCCGGATCCCCGCGCCGAGAATCGAGAGGTCTTCGTGTTGGTGTGTGTCAAGATTGGTGCCGTGGTTTTCGTGAGGTGAGATTGGGCTTATCTCACTCGCCATGATCTCGGCTTCGGGGCTTAACAATGTCCATTCATGAGTCTGGGCGGCAGAAGGTGGGTGAGATAATGGAGGCGGACTTTGCGGACGACGCGATACCGACCGGTTCACCTCACTTACGTTATCCGGAGAGCACTGGTCAGAGGATATCATCGGAACTCGCTGCTGAAGATGAGCGTTCGGAGACATAGCTTGAGATGGTTCTTCGTTGGCCTGCATGACTGATGAGAAGATAAGATGCAGGACAATGAATCTTGCTTCAGCTGGAAGAGAAAAGCAGCTTGTGGATCACAGCTCTGCACGAATATAGGCTCTTAAATGTTCATGGTTGGCCCAACGCCGAGCCTGATGAGGATGGGGCGCCGTGACACTCGAGATTCCAAGTCAGTGTATAGATCGCCTCCATAAGTATCCCACTCTTCTAGTCAGTAGACGTAAGCCCGGCTTATCTGATGTAGTTCGTGCGCTGTCAACACGGCTATTCGGTGACACCGACCCCAGCTTATGGTAGTGCCAGTCTCCAGATACCTCTGTGACAAGGCAGAAGATCTTCCTGGCGTAAAGTCATTGGTAGTGGCATATGGTTACATTTCGACCTGATCCGTGTTACTACTAGATGTCGTGTTTTCTGCAGACTTGGGCACCACTGCGGCTCGCTTATTTTGACCGTTAACGTCTTCTAAGCCGAGTCAGTGTTCCGTTCGACAAGACGTGGCCACGTAGAGATACCTAGGCTCGCATCCATTTTATTGTGCAAATTGAGCAAATTATCTATCGCTACGGCCGTCAAGGCCGCCTTGTCTTGTTATCCCCAAACTGGGGTAGTGTAGTCATAGACCAAGAGACTTGCATAGATCACAGTATTACGACTGCATTACATTTGGTTAAGAGAAGTTGAATGGACTCTTAGAAGCGCGACGAACTGGAGAGGCACCGCTGGTCGAGTAAAAACATAACAAGACGCTGGTGGACTAGGTAATATAATACGGGGCTACGAACAGACAAGAGATCGCCTTTTGAATGCTCACTGATGGGCGAGCTTGGCTTGAAGTTGCAGCTCCCGACGAATCTGAATTGTTATAGGGTATAGCGATTAGGCAGCAGGGCGAAACTTGAACATCTCATTTGGATAGAACATCACACCTGATATATTCCAATAAATACTCTGGATGGTTCATACTCAGTACAGCAAACTGAATACAAAATTGCCTAAGACAGGTGTACTATGCAAGCTATTCCACGGGGCCACCACTGCCTTCAACGAAAGGCACTACTCCACCTTCTGACCTCAAAGACAGTTATGTGTATGTATCAAGATCCATCGATCTAAAAGTTTCGACGGTGATGAAGCCGTATGAGGAAGCAGTACTGGGGAAATAATTAGATGACAGCACACAGGAATAGGAATATCAAAGAATATTGATATCGAATTGTATTAGGTGGCTCTCTGTGGGACATACCCCGGCTATCTCAACTTCTCCGCCGCTGTCAGCGAGCTCTCTCAATCTGCGGTACAAACATCCTTTTTCATGAACTCAGTCAATAGAGCACATGCTACCCCGAGTGTACAAAAGAAATCCTCAACAAGTAATTGGCTCGTAAACATGGTCGAATCCCCAGATACAAGTTCCAAACTCACTCCTTCTGGTCCAAAACGGAAGCATGCAACACGGTGGGGCTTGTCTGAATAAGCGTACCAACAGTAACATGCGGCCAGCTGAGGTTAGCAAAGTCCAGTGTGACATTCTGCGTGTACTGAAGCTGAGTGTACTCCACGGACACCGTCTTTGCTTGCGGGATCGGGAAGTGGACCTCAAAGACGGGCACCTCCTCACCCTCGCGGAGGGGCAGCGGCGAGAAGTGCTTGCACCGCTGGTGCTCCGAGGGTCCCTTCCACGGCTCGAGATGGATCTTTGTGCGGACGGTGGAGATCCAGTACTGGGCCTCCATGCGGGTTGCGTTGGCGTTGGCACGGCTAGGGAGTTCGAGGGCTTGTTGGCCGTCACCGACAAGGAAGCCGATGTTGGAGGTGCCGCCGCCGAGGTTAGTTCCCTCGGGCTTGGTTGTGATCTTGTAGGAGGTGTTCTCGAGGATGTTCTTGCCCTTGTTGGCCAGCTCCAGGACGACGTTGGGGTTGTCGATCATGTCTTGGGTGATTGTATGGGCTTGCGTGAACTTGTGGAGGTCTTGCGGGAGGCGGAAGGTGGCAGGGTCTTTTGCATCTTGGCTGGGGAAGAGGATTCTTTTGCCGCCGCCGACCGGGAAGGGCTTGATGTCGACTTTGGGAATGAATGGTGCTCCCACGCTGAAGGATGGCTCCGAGAAGCACTGGGCGTTGATGGTGGTGCCGTGCGGGATGGAAGCCATGCGAGCAAGGGATGTCTTGAGCTTGGGTATACTTGTAGCGGGGACGTGCATCCAGAGACCGGGCTCGAAGTGAATGACGGGAGGTTTCGGCTTCGGCTCCGTGATATCATGAATGGTCTGGGTGTAAGGAACGCCGTTCAGTTCGATGTCCTCCTGCTTCATCAGTCCGCGGTTGGGCACATCGCCGAGACCGGGAGCAAAAACTTGGCTCTCGTGCGTGATGTTGAGTTGGAGGATGTTATCCGGGATGAAAGGGGGCTTCAGCACGGGGGTGACTGCCAATGTGGTGGGAGAGGTAGTGCTGTGAGGGCGGAAGATGGTGTTAAAGCCTTTACCGGTGAAAGTGCGGTTCTCCAGCTTCTTCAAGATTCCCAACGGCGGGGCTGGTGCTTCTGGTGTTGCTTGTTGAGTGATGTTGGCATGGGTCGTATCCGGAGTGCCGTTGTTGTGGGCGTTGGCGAGGTACGGGCAGCCGCCACGGCCGTTGGAGTTGTGGTCGCTTTGTGGCTGGAGGACGGTGGCTCCGAAGGAGTTTGCCTCTGGGACGCTGATCGAGGCGGAGGTGGTGATTGGGAGACCCATGACTGCAAATGTGCTTTGGAATGTTTGGTTCTTCAAAGTAACGGATGAAGGTGAGCTGTGTGGTGAGATGGATGAGGGATGATGATGAGAAGAAGGGATCTTTAAGTAGGTTTTTCCTGATACTATCGATGGCATCTGAATCAAGGTAAATGGAAGCACAAGTTACACGAGCAACAGATAGGCAGAATTCCGCAAGCGCAGATACGAGCTGACTGTTGATGGCTTCAGTTGGAGAGCTGAAGTGTGAATAAGACACGTCGAACGCCACAGCCTGCAAGCTCGAAAGTATCATCTGAGTGGCATCAGCCGCATTCGAAGCTGACAGTGAGGCGTTCTTTACTTCCGCTTCTCTGCCTTCGTAAGTTGTGTGGCACTCCAACTCGCTCGCCGCCTTCATACCGGCAAACAAAGATGAGACGCTGTAGCCTATCTCTTCACTATGAGGTCCAGCAGGGATCGTACGCCACTTTCTAGGCAGTAAGGGTCCTATAGGCCCTATCATGCGAATACTGCATCAATACTAGAAAAGACGATTGAGAGTTTTCGAGTGTCTCATATCCTGCTCTAGGCCTTAGAAAGGTGCGGCTGAAGCTCAGCGGGCACGTGCCGGTCCGCTTCCGGAACGTTGAAGCCTGCAACCAAGCCGCATCGGCAGTTTGAGAAATGAAAGTCCCTGGATCTCTCGCGATGGAATTTCTGGTCTTGCGAAGCCAATGTCCCTTGGATTCCTCACTGGAGAAGCCGGCTGGTTATCTTGAGTCACAATGGCACATACTGACTTTTAGGGGTAAGTACGTCGCACAACACTCACGTTCATCGGGGACTGAGATCATGGGAAAAGTCGAAGGAGTCTTACATGCAGGTACAGCTTATAGCCTACTTCAATCTAGCACATGTGCGTTTCCGAGGGGACCCCCAATCACATCTTCTCCCCCTCATCAGCTGGAATCCAAGTGTCTCTGGCTTTTGGAAATCCTACACATCTCATTGGCCATTGTCCGCATGCCACCTTTCCCATGCCATGTGCTAATCTGACGGCACCTAGAGGAAACGTGGAAATCCCCCACCCGGGTACGACGGTCTAGATCCCCTAGTCTTGAACTCTGGCATGCAAGCTGTCGGACCGCCTCACCCCGCCACTGCAACCGGAGGGTTCCGAGGCTTCGCCCAGATTTATGTCTCAGCCCTTTCTCAGATAGGCTTTCTGTCAATCAGCCCGGTGATGCGGAACGTTCCACCGCACCCGGGAAACAAGATGGCGGGGTGGAATTGCCATGGGTTGCACATGGTATTCACTTGCGTTGCGCGGCGGGCAACGGGGCGACTTTTCGGTGAAGAATGTGTGGCATCAGGGACTATTCCCACATGTGTGCGGGTGGGAAGGATGGCCGTAGAGCATTCTCTTACCTTGAATCAGCAAGGGTATGGATTTTCTACTATATGAGCTGTACTACGACTGGATCCCGCTAATACAGGTGCAAAAACATATATGGGGCAGGAGGCATGCATGTAGGTGCTCCTTCCCGTTGGCTACCTCCCGACCTACGTTAGGCCTGATGAATTCACCAGGAATACGTGACAGGTGCGTCACTGAATCATCGTAGCGTTGGAAGCCGTAGGAACATAGCCAGCGTGTTCCCTTTCCATCCTAACAACAAAGATCGGGCCTGGTGATCGAGTGGTGAAAGCCGTGAAGTGCTGACTATTGCGTGATGCTCCATACTCTTCAAGACTCCTACGTTCAATTCTCGGTCGGCTCCTGTTGTTTTTGTCTTTTTCTTGCCGAAAAGAAATTGATCAATGAGTCGCTTGTATTCTACTACTCTCTTTATTGCTGGAAACGCATGCACCCGGCCGGTTCGTCTCGTCGACTTAATTCATAAGGCTGCAATAAGCTTCTAACTGTCGCCTTGCGGTTCTAAGACGCCATTAGACCTTCTTTGTGACGAAGCGACTTTTCCCAAATGCGATGGGCGACGGTAAGTAATTGAATTTTTACGTGCCGTGACGACGGGTGATTATCGAGGAAGGAATGAAAAGAGCTTTGCTGCTCGGCGTGAGGATGAAGCTCAAGGGGCTTGATCTGGGCCATGCCAGAGACCCAGCCCCTTAAGTCCATTACTCCCAGGATCCTTCGGAAAGCACAATTTCCGAGACAAAAACTAAGTCATGCCGCGGAGAGATGCCAAATCCGGTTTTGTTGGTGTTACCCATGACCCTGAAGATCTATCAAGATTCTTGATGACGCAACTCGTCCGGTATGTGAAATT